CAGCAGCCCGGCCTTCCACAGGCTCCCGGAGGTCGGCGCCCTGTGCTGCCCTGCACTGCCACTGCTTCCTGCCCTGCTCGATTCCGCCCTGAGCCTGGAGTGAGCAGTGAGCACCCAGGTCGCTATTGGCGCCTCCCTGGAGCTGAGAGGGCCGGCCGAAGCCAGTGTGCCTCGCCTGCTCACCCTCCAGGGGCAGGCAGCAGCTGGCGGGCAGGTCCCCCTGGTGCTGGCCCTGAGTGGGCGGTGGCCCATGGCTGACGTGCTCTAGCCCGGTCCCGCCTGCAGGGGCTGGCTTTCGTGTCAGAGTGGCGTCCGGGGGCAGGATGCTCTGCCTGAGGTTCTCAGGTGCCCTCTCCCCTCCAGATCTGCCCACCAGCCCTGTCGACCTGGTCATCAACTGCCTGGACTGCCCCGAGAACGCCTTCCTGCGGGATCAACCCTGGTACAAGGCGGCCGTGGCCTGGGCCAACCAGAACCGGGCACCGGTGCTCAGCATAGACCCTCCCGTGCCCGAGGCTGAGCAGGGCATCGATGCCAAGTGGTCGCTGGCGCTGGGGCTGGCGCTACCGCTTTTTTTGGCGCACGGGCTGCCGCTACCGCTGGGGGAGCGCGCGGGCCGCGTGTACCTGTGTGACATCGGCGTACCCCAGCAGGTCTTCCAGGAGGTGGGCATCAGCTACCACTCGCCCTTCGGCTGTAAGTTTGTCATCCCGTTGCACTCCGCCTAGGGCCCTGGAGGCCGGCCCGGGGCCCTGCTGCTCCCCACTCAGCCTGCTGGGGACGCCTTAAGGACATGACGCTGTGGACCTTGGTAGTTTTCTCCTTCAGGTTTGTTTCCTGCGAGAACAGAACGTGCTTAAGCCGAGCTGTCCCTGCCCATGGCCGGGGAAGGCTCCCACTGGGCGCGGGGCTGCGGGCCTTGTTTACAGTCGGACTGTCAGGTTTACAGCCGCGGAGTGTGGGTGTGGGGTCCTGCGCGGCCTGTGCCTGCAGCCTGTGTGTGGCTTCATGTCTCCCTACTCCCCGGGCCTGGCCTGTCGCATGGCAGCTATGAGAGGGCTGACAGGCAGGCTGTCCCTGGCACCCCACAGGCCCATTTGGGGCTTTCGACCCTCTCCTGAGTAGATCCAGGTTTTGTGCTGGGCTTTTCCTAGTCTCTCCCTCCCCCCCCCCCATGCCACCTGAGAGGCGGGTCAGGGGTTGAGGGCGGTGTCACCGTACTGTACGGGGATAAGGGTAACAAGGCACGTCACTGCAGAACAGCTGGGGCCCAGCCACAGGTGCAGCTTCCACAGTAAGTATCGGGGAGA